CTGGGAGTGTCGATGAAGCAAAGTTATTTTTTCCATAACAACCGACTAACTTATTTATTAGAAGTTGTTTGACCTTGTTTTTGCAACTTGGTTCTATTGTGGTAGGAAGACTTAGGGGAACGCACCTGGTCCGGAGTCCGTTGTATGCTTCATCGTTTCCAGAGTAGGACCGTGGACGTGATACATTCCCAGACGTTTTACCGGCATCGTAGTCAAAGTTTCCTCTAAGTCTTCGTACCAATATGGCCAATTTGCTAAAGCAAGGTCAAACAACTTCTATAAAACGAAAGGAGACTGCAACCACACACCACACCATCTTCATCTTCATACCTTCGATTACATTATTTATTTTTCGTTTATAAGCAGAGTATCGTTGTGGAAAAATTCAGCTATCAGTCCATCACCTTGAACGAAATAGTGTGAATACATCTCATATTATAATTACACACATATGCATGTATAGACACAGATATATGGGTGGAAATAAAGATAATCAAATTGACTCACTCCTGGCTCAAAAGAGGACGGTGATATCAAACTGGTCTGACTGAAAATGCAAGTATTCTCTGAAGAAACCGGCGTCCTATCGTAATGCTGCGAGCCAACCGATTCCACATTCTGCAGCTGGGCGCATTTCGAGAACTGCACGGCGATACCGTTGTTCGTGGAGGATAGAGACTCCGGGTTGCTGCATTCCTGTTCTCCTGATGCTGCCGAACTGCAAAGGGTTTCGCTACAAAACTGGGCGGGTGATGGCTCGAGCATGATACCCGTGAACAGATGACGAGACATATCAACTGAGTCAAATGGTATCTCATGTGCACCTACCGAATGCTCCCCTACATTAGCCGGTCGTAATGTAGGATTAGTAGAATACAGGAGGCAGGGCTCATCTGCTGCGGTGTCAACCCTGATCGCGATGGAGGAAGTGGCCACCGAATTTGAGTCCATCATCATGGAAGACTCCAAACTCATCAGCCCAGCAGAGTGGTGCATCGGTTTATCTGAAGGCTGACTATTAAGAGGCTGGTTGCCTTCATCCGATGCTGGAATAGAACCGGTGACGGGTTGATAGTTGATGTTTCCTGTATTTGTCTGCTGAGATTGACCATTTGAAGGAGGACACGAAAGGTTGGGTTGAAGTATTGGCTTTGGAATGCGAACAATGTTTACTGAAGTGGAGCCAGCCAAACAAGTGGCAGAATGCGTGGCCGCTGGTAAGACAACACCATTTTCGCCAGCCTGGTTATCCAACCCGGTGATCAGGGTGCTGGTACAGTTCGCTTCAAGGCCAGGGTCCGTGGGCTGGTTGTTCAGGGTGCTGTTGGCTACTGAGGTTGTGCTGCTAGTAGTGTTGAGGCCAGTCCTGTTGCTATGGCTGCCGCGAGTATTAGCGTTGTACGTGCTCTTGTTCTCAATGCCACTGCTGCAGCTACTCATGGAGAGGTCGACGCCTGAGAGAAACCCGGAAGAGGATGCCAAAGAACTGGTGGAGAGGGGCGAAAG